CTTCAAGAACATTCATGCTTCTATTCAGAACTTTTCTAAACTTCATACTCTTGAAATATTTAGCTTTATTTTGAAAATCTTTCCCCATTCAAATGAACGTGAAAATTCTACTTCAGCATACTTTCAGCTAGCAAAACCATTCAGTTGTCAAAATGTTCAGCATTTTCAGGGCGATCTTTCAGCAGTCAGCATCCATACGCATTTTCTTCAGAAAATGCATTTCTCTAGTTGTTTATTGTATTGACACTATCAGGGTGTTTCAGAGTGGTTCTGTAGGTAAGGGTTAGACAGGGCAGCAGAAAATTGTTTTATGGCTGTAAAGTTAAACCTTTCCCCCGTTTTAAAGTTTACCATGATTTATATTAATTGCTGAAAGTGGAGTTATACATCTTGTGGTCACTCCCTGACCTGACAGGAGAGCTGGCCCATTGCTTAAGAAACCTTACAAGTTTTTGAACATTTTAGCAATCCTCAAATGCCCTTCATCAAAAATATATTGTTTTATCTAGACTTGCTGGTGTATATGTTTTGCCAGAGCACCTTTTGAATACAGAGAAGTTGGTGCACTTGAGGTTTTCTTTTTTTAAGTTTCTCTGCTTAATTTTCAGGAAATATGCCTACATAACAACATACCTGTAATTGTCACATGCTGTCATGACACAGATGGTACTGAGCTTTTAGACATATTGCCTGCCACTATTTGCAACCATATACTCTGACATCATCTAACTAAAATTGCTAAATCTTTCCCCTAACTTAAGTTGTCTTTCATGTGTTTTTTTTTTTTTGGATATCATTTTTTTTTCAGTGTTATTAATCACAAATGGTGTTGTTTGTCTAGGGTGAGATACAAAGTGTTCAGCACTCCTGTAATGATGACACGAAATGTGTCATGGTTCTTTCTGCATATAGGATCCACTGCAGTGCTCTATTGCAGCATGTGTAAAGAATAGTGATAAGCCCCTGTCTCATTACACAGTTTTATCTTAACTGGCCCAGTCTGCCAGACATCCACGTAGAGCTGCTGGTGATGTCTAGTCACATCCCTCCATGCTCACTCTTAAGAATTCCCTGCCCGTCAAGAAATAACCTGCTATTTGAGCAACATTTTAACACGATTGTAGTCTGATTGAAACCTTTATCTGCAGTGAGACATTAGATAGGGAAAGTGAAGGGAGAGTAACGAGAATGTCATCTGTGGATAAAAATGCACTCATTAAAATGGCTCAGACAAACTAAAGGACCGCAACAAACAACAAAGCCCAGACAATCCTTTTGCAGAATGCTGATGAGGTTTACCATGCGCCTCTCCCTTCTGTTGACTCTCTCTTTCACCCTTTGTCTCTTTGCTTCCCTCTGCCTTTCAAACTCTGGTACATGAAACTAAACATTAAATACTATGCTTTTTTGTTTTTTTTGCATTGTGTAACTATTTTGTGGTTAACTTGGGATCATGTAATTCTTGAAAAATAATACATCCATTTTCACTGTTTGCTTGAATATGTATATTGCTTGTGTAATTTTATTTGTGTGTCTATCTGCAGTAGATATAGTATAGGTTTGAATTTATTTAGACAATAACACTATTTTACTGTCACAATGTCAAAAACATACATGTGGTGCATGAGTATACAGTGGCTGCAAAATACAGTAATAGAGAGGTGAGTCAGTGGTAATTAATCACACATGAACATAGTGAGAAAGCAGCTACTGCTGTCATCCCCTGATGACAGTGAAAGTTAAACTTGAGGAATAATTTTTGTTATGAGACAGCTGGTGAGAGGACAAAGTGTTCAGTGTGCTTTACTGATATATGTAAATAATTCATCTTCAGTTTGAGGTGTGAATACTAGGGGTATGACGATACACTTGGCTTATGAGACGAGACGATACATGATATTGGGTTCACAAGAACGATCTCACTTAAGACTCACATAAAGTTTCCTTTATGATGTCTGACTCTGTTTGTGCTGTGTCTTTCTACCCTCTTAAAGGTGATGAGAAGACCCTCCCTCCAGCACCCACTATGCTAATGCTATCCACAGAGGGATTACTTTGCCCGTTTTCGCTGCTCAACCTCAATCCTGGGGTTAAGCAACTGGTCTCACCACCCACCCTTCTTTCCTCGGAGGGGGAGAGACTGCCCAAGCTAGGTAAGAAAGCCAGTGAACTTCAGTCTAAAATGTTACTGACACCTCACACAGTGGAGAGAGATATTTCCTGATAAAGCATCTAATGCAGTGCTTGCCAGATTTTTCAATTTCCTGATGTAGGGCTCTTGATAAGCATGGACATATCTTTTGACATGTTACCCATTGGTTTCTGAAGGATAATTCTGAAGTGTGTAGTATGCACAGAACTTGTCTAAACTGAAGTGCTTACCTTTTTTGTTAAGCCAGAAAACTAAGGGTTTTCGCCCAGATAAACACATTCAGAAAAGGCTTCACAAAATTTGTGCAAACCTTCTGAAGTCTGACAGAATTGTGGCTTTGTGAATCTAACCGATTGTTCTTCTCTCTAAATCTAATTCATTTGCTTCCAGAATTAGCAACCTGTTCTCATAAAGAAAACCTGTCCAACATGTAATGAAATCAAATGAAACAAATTTATTTTATGTTCACAGGTTCTTTGGTAACCCAACCACCCAAAATTGCTGCCTCCACCATGTCTGCTCCAGCAGCATTCCCAAACCTTGGTTTTTCTTTGCCAGCTGCTTCCACTCCTCCAGCAGCTGCTTCCTCTTCCTCTGCTGCCTCATTCAGCATTGTTCCTACAGCTCCTGTGTCATCTGCATCAGCAAGCTTTACTTTCTCTGTCCCAGTCACATGCTCCACCTCAGCTTTCTCCATGGGGGGAGCCATACCTTTTGGCTCAGGATCTTCAGGCTTTAAATTTGCTTCCAAACCTCCCTCTGACACTCCATCAGCACCTTCAGCGTTTTCTCTAAGCCCAGCTCCCATCAAGCCATCAGCAGCAGCCGCCTCAGTTCCAGCACCCCAGGGCCTTGCCACTGCCTCCCCACCTAATGTGAAACTGAATTTAAATGACAGGTACTAAACTATCATATACAATATGAGGAGAGTTTGAGGGTTGAATACATACAACTTTAAACATTTGTTTGCTCTTTCCTAAGGTTTTCAGCAGTGGAGGTCCCAACATCAGCCCCACTGACTTTCTCCTTCAGTCCCTCGCTGCCCAAAACAGTCGCCTCCAATTCCAGTAGTTTGACTGCCCCTTTGCACTCAGCCACTAAACCTCCAGCTGTATTGAGTAAGAAGATCTAGTCTCAGCTTTACACAGTTGTCATTGTTATTATTATTATTATTTTATTTTAAATCAAGAAGTCTTTAAATCTTTAGTGTTCATGGCTAACATTGTCATTCTATTATTGTTGGTTGTGCTTCAGCCCCGGTGCATCCAGTTCAAACTAGCACACCACCCACAGGCATCCAGAAACCTGCACCTGCTGCCCAGGACCATGTCCAAACTCCGCAGGTCCTGTCTGCTTATTATGATTTCTTTCTTGTTCATATATTAACTGAGTTTCTCTTAATAGTTTTTTTTGTTTATATTTTGCTCAAATATATACCAGAAGACAAACATGTCAAATATGGATGCATGAAAACAGAGCAATGAAATGGTGAATATAACAATGCCAGTTAAACTGCAACTTCTATGGAGTGGTGCTATTGCCAGTAGTAATAGCATGTTCAACTGAAATCAACTACTGCTGTGGGCAGAAGAAAAGTGTAGTTACATTAACTAATATTAGCTGACAGTAATATCACTTTATCTTTTCTCAATGCAGGCAGCTGTTAGTGTGAAAGCCCTGGAGAAGCAATTACAGCAAAAGAAAGAGTCTGATCCCATAATGGCTGCTATATTAGAAGAGGTGAGACACATCATCTAGTCAGTACCTTGGAGTACCATATAACACTTGTAACTAGAAAAGCCCCATACTTCGGACCATATGGGGTTTCCTTATTTAATTGTTTCTCTTAATAAAACTTACTAGTAAACCTGTAAATAATTTCACAGATTAACTGTACTGTTAGCTTGCATTGCATTTTGTTGAAGCTATGCTTTTTGGTGTTGTGGTTGTGTATGATAAAATGCTATCTAAACATATTTCCAGTTGTAATTAATGTTACACCCAGTGTTCAAATAAGTTTGAATGTGTTTTCCTTGTATTGTTTCATAACTGCGCTTGTCTTTGATTTGTCACCAGATTGCACACTTCCAGAAGGAGTTGGACGACCTTAAGGCACGGAGCACAAGAGCTGACTTTAAGATTGGAACCAATGAAGAGATGGAGGAGTTGAGGAAGAAGTCAGAGGACCTTCATATTTTCACCCTAGAAATCAAGGAAACTACAGAGGTAAGTAACATCATGGTTTGGGGAAAAAATGATGTTTAGATATTGCTTGGGCTGAACCAAATCCTTTGTCGCTGTGAGAAAAATCCCACTCACCATCCAAGACTCACATAGCTGCCACCTACTGAGAATGTAATAGTTTTAGAAGATCAAATTAGTCATAATTTTATAGTGTTGATAACGCAAAATCAACATGTGCACCATCATCCCCTCTTGTTGCTGGCAGAGATGATAGTCTTGTCTGTAATTTGCATAAACAAATTTGGCATAAAAGGCGGCCCTCCAGTGGGCAAAAACAGTAAAAGAATAACCTCATCACTTGGTCTTTTTGGTAAATTTGTTTAGTCAAATCTTTTTGGCCTTTTCGGTCTATTGTGTTTATCTAGAATTGTTTGTGTTGATAGAATTGTAATGTGATCTTTGTCCAAAACAGATCTATCGCATTTTAAAAAATTTAATTTTATTTATTTTTAGTTGATAGTTGTGCTCTCCTTAAGGATATTATAGTAGGGTTACCCTCTTCCAACCTTTCTCTTTCTAATTTGCAGTCTCTCCATGGGGACATTGGGACACTCAAAACCACCTTACTGGAAGGGTTTGCGGGGGCAGAAGAAGCAAAGGCCCAGAGTGAGCTGAGCAAAGACAGAAATTACAGACAGCTGCTGTACAAAAAACCTCTGGACCCACGCAGCGAGGAACAGCTTAAGGTGAGACACAGAAGAACAGATAGTGATCTTCTTTTTGTCAAGCCTTTAAATTAATCTTCTGTAAACTCAGGACTTTTTCTCTCCCCCCCCCCCCCCCCTTCCCCTTTCATCAGGAGATTCGCAGGCTGTACCAGTATGTTAAGTTTGCTGTGGAAGATGTCAATGACGTGTTGGATGTAGAATGGGAAAAACATCTGGAAAAGAAGAAAAAGCAGAAGTAAGCACAAAAGACCAACTACTTCAGTATTTGATGCTGAAAAGCATTTGAGTTTAGAATCATTTGTAATCAAATAATTCTCTTCTTCACAGACACATGGTCGTGCCAGGACGTGAGGGTCTGTTCACTACACTGTCCAATAACCTGTACATCATCAACCAGCAAAAGAACAGATTGGACCAGTTGGTTAAGGAACTCACTTCACTGCAGCTCTACAAGACTATCACTCCAACTCTAAGCCACAGCACTGCCACAACAAGCGCTGCTGGGTAGGGACCAGCAAAAAACAAAGCTGAATGTGTATTAAATTTTATATGTAGAGTTTGAGTTCATAGGGAATCAGAAACTTTAAGCATCAATTAATCCTTGACTTAAATTAGCAACAGTCTGAATATAGAGCAAATTTTGTATAAGTAGAATTGATTGAATTCAACTTGGCAGATAATATAATAACCAAAGTTTATAAATAACATACAGATTGCACTGATTTCTTTTAGTATGGCAGCCTTTACAGGATTTTAACATTAATTTCTAATTATGGGTATCAGTACATAGAATAGGCAGTGGTGTGTGCAGCTTAAAACATCTTGTTTCTCTATTTTGTGACAGTTTAGAAAGCGAGCTTGAAAATTTAAAGGATGCGCTGCTGAAAACCAGACTGGACACTACTCCTCCCAAGACCAAATCCAAATTTCCAGGTATTAATTTTTCTGTGGTTTTGATATAAAAATAATAAAAGATAAACCATTTCTTAATTTCAACAAATACCAGCTATAGATATTTTTCTCCAGCAGTCAAAATCTCACCAGGGAAACAGCTCCAGCTGCGCAACTTCCTCTCAAAGGGGCAGATGCCTCCTGTCCGCTCAACTGCACCAGGTATACCATCCCTTAGTCAGACAAATTTAAGAAGCATTGGGGGATGTGGAATCATGATGTTTTTTTGTTTTTTTTAATTGGTTTATCAACTAGAAATTTATGATTGTATGAAAGTTTACAAATAGTTGTTTGCTTTATTATAAACACGGATGGCAAAGAACAGATGGCAAAAATATTCATGTCATTTGGTTTGTTGAACAAGCGGAAGAGATGTAATCTGTTAATCCATCAAACCTCAGAAATCTGAGCGACTGCTTCCAGTAATTTTACTAGCACCATCTCAAAACTCAGCTTTTGGAAAAATAAAAGCTTTTGTGGAGCTCCATGATCATGAAATTCTAATATTGACAATGCTGAGTAAAAGTATCCCCATAATGCAGTTATGCCATGTGTGTTGGTTATTTAGATGTTCTTCATCTCTTCTCTTCCAGCCAACCTGTCTCGCTCAGCCTTCCTCTCACCTAAATACTATGAGGATTTGGATGATGTAAGCTCTACCTCCTCCTTGTCCCAGTCCCTGGACCCTCACCCAATTCACCTGGAACTGGAGGATGACGAACTACAGCCAGAGCCCCTTCCCATGCCAGTCATACCCACAGCTTTGTCCACCCCCCGCCACCCCACAGTTGTTAGGACCCCCTCTATCCAGCCAGGTTTTACAGCCCACCAATCCACCCCTTTAACCAAAATTCAGTCAGTGCAGGGTATGGGCTTTGCACTCAGCCCTATTGCCAGTCCCGGTAAGTCATTTATACCAACTGTTGTTATAGAGTTTCTCAAATATATGATGCAAGTAGACATTTTTAGTGTTGCTCACTGTATTGGTGTTTCAGTTCCTGCCAATAAGATCAACCTCACTGGGGCTGATAGCACTGCTCTTGCTACAAAGACAGTAAAACATGGAGCCCCACCAACAGAGAGGACCATACCTGTCACCATCCCTGCCCGTCAGGCTGCAGCCGAAGCTGCTCTACACAGGCAT